CCGCAGGGAGCCTGGGGCTTCGTTCAGATGTCGGGGGGAGACAGAGACAGACAGACAGAGGGAGACACAGAGAGAGAGACAGGGAGACAGAGAGACAGAGGGAGACAGACAGACAGGCAGAGATGGAGGCAGACAGAGACAGGGAGATAGAGGGAGACAGAGACAGGGAGGCAGAGAGAGAGATAGAAGGACAGAGATAGAGGGAGACGGGAGACAGGGAGGCAGAGAGAGAGATAGAAGGACAGAGATAGAGGGAGATGGGAGACAGAGACAGTGAGATAGGAAGACAGAGACAGGGGGACAGAGACACAGATAGAGGGAGACAAAGACAGAGAGACAGAGGGAGACCGACAGGGAGATGGGAGACAGAGATAGTGAGATAGGGAGACAGAGACAGGGAGACTTGAGAGAGATACGGGGAGACAGAGACAGGGGGACAGAGACACAGATAGAGGGAGACAAAGACAGACAGACAGACAGGGAGATGGGAGACAGAGATAGTGAGATAGGGAGACAGAGACAGGGAGACTTGAGAGACAGAGATAGAGAGAGACAAAGACAGGGAGACAGAGACAGCAGACAGATCGAGGGAGACAGAAACAAAGAGGGAGACAGAAAGAGACAGACAGGGACATAGAGGGAGATGAGAGACAGAGAGAGACAGTGAGGTAGGGACACCGGGACAGAGAGGCTTGGAGAGACAGAGATAGAGGCAGACAGAGACAGAAACAGGAGACACAGAGAGAGGGAGACAGAGACGGAGGGAGATAGAAAGACAGAAACAGAGACAGACGGAGACAGACACAGAAAGAGAGAAAGAGGAAGACAGAGACACACCGAGGGAGACAAAGAGAGAGAGACAGACAGAGACCAAGGGAGACAGAGTCGGAGACAGAGAAAAGCCAGTGATGGAGAGAGAAGCCGAGAGGCGTGGCCAGGGCCCCCGAGAGCCGGCGTGAGCAGCTGGCCTGGGCATCGCAGAGGACACATCCCTAAGCCCCATCATTGCCGCCCACACAGGGGAGGGCCAGGAGCCCCCGTGGGATTTAGGGAGCCAGGATGGAGTGGGGCTATCCCGCTGGGAGTCGGGCTCAGAAGCAGCCTCAGCAGGGTTTGTGTGCCCTGGCGGGGACAGGGGATGTCCGGGCAAACCCCGGACGCAGCCCCGAGCCAGGATGGGCCTGTGGACTCCTCTGGGACCCGGGGTAGGTGCCACCGGGGGGGACGTGGGGAAGCTCGGAGTGGAGCTTCTCCTCTGCACACCGGAATTCTCGGAGGAGCCCCCTCTGCCACACCGCACCGGCGTGCTGAAGGCTGAGCTGGGGCACCTGCAGAGACGCTGCGGCTTCTCTCCCGGTTTTCTCCGGTGAGACGTTTGTGGGCCACCCGGAGCCTCCAGGGTGAAAAGCTTGATTGTGAAAAGCCTATTGGGAAACTCAGACGCTTGGAGTTCAGGCTGTGATGCGGACCAAGTGATTCCAAGGAGACGGCCCACCACTTTGGGGTCCTCCGTCCCCAGCCAGCCCAGCCCCCACAGAGACAGGGGCGCCCAACACAGCTGTGGTGAGAAGCCTCCTCTGCAGCCCAGGCCTGGCTGAGCCCCCACACCCTGGAGCCCTGCGCTCCTCCCTCCGGACCCCCGGGGAGAGGCTGGGCGAACCCTCGGCCCGTGTTCCCTGGTGCCCCTGAGCCCCCGCTGTGTTCCAGGACGCGTACTACCGGAGCCCGGAGACGCAACTGCGGTTCATGCAGGCCATGCACGGCGTGGCGAAGCTGACTGCGCGCCAGGTGGCCACGGCCTTCGATCTGTCCCGCTTCTCCTCCGCCTGCGACGTGGGAGGTGGGTAGCACCCCCCCCCCGCCAGGGCTCTCCTTCCTTTCGTTGATTAAGCCGCAGGCATCTTCCCTGCTCAGGACACCTGCAAACTGCCTTTTTCCACTGAGAAACCTGACGACGACCTGAACTGGGCCAGGCTGAGTCCCAGATGGTGGGTGGATATTCCCACATTCCAGGAGGCCCCCGGGGATGACTTAACGTCCCCCGAGAGACTCTGGGGCCCTCTCTGTTGGCCGCGGAGCTGAGGCAGAGCACCTTGGAGCCGCTGGCTTCCCCTCAGCAAGTCTGATTATATCCTGACTCACCCTCCACCCCACCCCAGCCCTGGACAGTGGATGGAGCAGTAGACACGTTCCCAAGGGGTGCTGGGGGATCAGGGGCCTGGGACGATTCTCACACCATCCGCTTACATTTCCCCAACCTCGGAATGCCTCTCCTCCTTGTGGTCCAGAGTGGCTGCTGTAGCACCAGCCATTGTATCTATATCCCCATGGCTGGAAGGAGAAGAGAGGAGTACAGCCCCCACCTCTGAGCTGGAAGGATTTCCCTGCAGGTCTGTGCCCCCCACACATGGCCCAGAGTGGCTGCTGTAGCACCGGCCATTGTGTCTATATCCCTGTGGCAGGAAGGAGAAGGGAGGAGTACAGCCCCCACTTCTGGGCTGGAAGGATTTCCCTGCAGGTCTGTGCCCCCACACGTGGCCCAGAGTGGTTGCTGTAGCACCGGCCATTGTGTCTGTATCCCCATGGCAGGAAGGAAAAGGAAGGAGTATAGCCCCCACCTCTGGGCTGGAAGGATTTCCCTGCAGGTGTGGGCCCCCCACACATGGCCCAGAGTGGCTGCTGTAGCACCGGCCATTGTGTATACATCCCCACAGCAGGAAGGAGAAGGGAGGAGTACAGCCTACACCCTGGGGCTGGAAGGATTTCCCTGCAGGTCTGTGCCCTCACACGTGGCCCAGAGTGGCTGCTGTAGCACCGGCCATTGTGTCTATATCCCCATGGCAGGAAGGAGAAGGGAGGAGTACAGCCCCCACCTCTGGGCTGGAAGGATTTCCCTGCAGGTCTGTGCCCTCACACGTGGCCCAGAGTGGCTGCTGTAGCACTGGCCATTGTGTATACATCCCCACAGCAGGAAAGAGAAGGGAGGAGTACAGCCCCCACCTCTGGGCTGGAAGGATTTCCCTGCAGGTCTGTGCCCCCACACGTGGCCCAGAGTGGCTAATGTAGCACCAGCCATTGTGCCCCTACACATGGCCCAGAGTGGCTGCTGTTGCACCGACCATCGTGTATACATCCCCACGGCAAGGAGGAGAAGGGAGGAGTACAGCCCCCACCTCTGGGCTGGAAGGATTTCCCTGCAGGTCTGTGTCCCCACACGTGGCCCAGAGTGGCTAATGTAGCACCAGCCATTATGTATACATCCCCACAGCAAGAAGGAGAAGGGAGGAGTACAGCCTACACCCCTGGGCTGGAAGGATTTCCCTGCAGGTCTGTGCCCCCACGTGGCCCAGAGTGGCTGCTGTAGCACCAGCCATTGTACCCCCACACATGGCCCAGAGTGGCTGCTGTTGCACCGACCATCGTGTATACATCCCCATGGCAGGAAGGAGAAGGGAGGAGTACAGTGTACACCCCTGGGCTGGAAGGATTTCCCTGCAGGTCTGT